CAATTTAGTTTTTCTTTTGCGACCTCACATTGTCCAAAAAACAAAGCCATTTATATTTAGCAAAACATCTGACCTTGTCAAAGTTTCTTTGCTTCTTGTCGAGGTTAGCAGCCAGAGCATTAGCTCTCTCCACATCTATCATCAGGTCCTCCACTTCAGCAAGCAGTCTCTGTTTTGTCTTTTCCAGAGAGGCACATTTCGCATTCACAGCCTCGATAGATTCCTCTGCATCCTGAAGACGCTGGGCAAGCTTTTTCCTGTTAAGATTATTTGATTCGCAAACTTTCAGTTTAGCATAAGTCATACTCAAAAGTGGAGGTTGGATCTAGTTAAAATCGTATGGACTTACTTAGACTCCTCCAGCTCCTCAGTGCGCTGAATGGCGTCAGTCTCGTATTTGGCTCTCCACTGAGCCACCTCGCTGTTGGCCTTAGACATTGCGCGCTGCAGCTCAGACTTGGCCTCCTGCTCCTCCTCGTACTGCTCTCTGAGCAGGTCGCAGTCATGACGGGCCGACTGAACAGCATGAGCCAGGGCGTTCTTGGCCTAATTAAGAAAGAAAAAGAAAAAAATTGGTTATAATAATGTCTTAGTATGATAAAAAAAACATTGGGCCATTAGTGGCAATGTTATAAAAAAAGGAAACTACCGTACCTTAACTTCTTCTTCAAGGTGCTTTTTGAGCTCCTCAAGTTGGTGAATGTAAGCCTGTTTTCCCCTGGTAAGCTGTGAAACAAGAGACTCCTTCTCTTCCAACTGATGACCAAGTTCCCCTGATTAGAAAAGTATTTTTGGTTAGTGATTTGTGCTAACTAACAAATGTTGTCAGAAAAATGTCAAAAGGAGTTTAATTATTCTCTTCCCAGATGTTGCACTCACCATTTTCAGTCGTGAGTCTTGATCTTTGAGCGTTGATATCATTTAACTGACGCACATGTTCTTCATTCTTGGTCTTAAATTCACTTAGTTGATCCTCAAGAGAACGGCACATTTTCTCCAGGTTACCCTATAGACACAAATCAACACCATTTAGTTTGCTGAAGTCATATTGCTTCTGACAATGAAAAAAGGATAGGAGGCAGAAAATAGTCAAAGTTTCAATGTTTATCCTGGCCATATTATCTGACCAGAGAATTCACTTGTGTTTGTCTTTCTGCGGCTTACTGTAAATTCCTCCAGATTCAAATGTAAAACTTTTTTATAGCAATGAAGCCCTCTACTGTTATTTTTGGCATACATTGACTACAGCAGCATTTCGTTGTGCAACACCTCTGCTAAAGAATGTAATGATACTTGAATGAAGTGAATTGTGGTCATTACTCATCGTTAAATAGAAAACAATCTTAAATGTTACCTTTGATCTGGCGAGACTCTCCATGTTGCTGCAGACGTCATCGATCTCCATCTTGTACTCGCTCTTCTCTTTCTCCAGCTTCTGTTTGACTCTCTGGAGGTTGTCGATCTG